CCAGTCCTTTAAAAACCTTTTAAAATGTTGATATGCATTAATTTTTAAGTCATATTGATTGACCTCTCAATTAGTTAAGTATAGGTACCTACCTAGTTAGGCAAAAAATTTAAAATCTTACCTGCAATTTGGTTCCAACTCGTTTCCCTTTCAAATGATCCAAAATACAAAAATATGTAATTTCTTTATGATAGAATAAAGGAAGCCCTTTTAATAAGGGCTTAACAAACGGCCCTGTAAAACGATTATTTTTATGGTGCAAAAAAGACTTCAATAAATTCATGTTGATTAATTTTCTTTTTTATTATTTTTTTTAAATTGTGCCCATAGTTTAAGCTAGTTTTTCTACGAATAATTATACCTACAGATTATCTAAATGTCTTACTATCAATTAGTTTTAGATTACAATGGGAATAAAGATAGATATACGCATGTGTTTTTTTCTTCTTTGAATATAAGTCATTTTAGATGTTTAGATATTTTTTTTTTTATTCAAATGATTTGTTTCAACTTGATCCCACGTGTCAGGCACGATGGCCGTTTTATCATTTATTTATTTATTTAATTCTTTTCTTATTTAACATATGCGTGTGCCAGTTCACACTCTTAATTTTACCAATCACAAATCCTTGATGCTTCTGAAAATAGAGAAAATCGAGTATTCAGTGGAGCGACGTTGATTTTTTTTTCTGACGATACATTGGCTTTTTGTATTTTAAAATTTTTTACTTCTAATGTAACAACTTCTTTTTATAAAATATATCGTTTAAACATCAACAATTGACTTTTTTTGGAGTATGTAAGTTTGGAAATAAAATATTGTGAAAATATCACAAAATAGTTAAGCACCCAACTTGTTTCCTGGGTAAAAAATTAAATTGAAGGGGTGAACCTCTATTTTGTACAATGTAAATTTAGTCATTGTTCACAGTTACATATTAAGTCTTGAGAGCTAATGAACATTGTTTGTGTAAGGCTGAAATTCTCAAAACCCGTCAAATTTGATCCGATTGCCATCCAGACATTAATCTATAGTGTGTTAATTTAAAAGGCAAACTTGTATTATCGAGCAGAGGCTATAAAATGTTTTAAGGCGTAAAAATTGATATCCTACAACCTTGTTTTTCAAGTAAAGACAACTAATTTCAAATTCAAGCAAAATAAATAAAATAATATACCATTATTTTCCAAAATTCAAGATTTTTTTTTCTTCAAAATATCGCCGTTGTAGTCGTTGATTAGTTTAGAGCATCTAATTTGCTCCGACCTCAGGCTTTAACTGTTTCAAAAATCAAAAATTTTGTTGGCATGGACATGAAAAAATAACACTTTGAAGAGATTTGAATTTACATGCTCCATATTACCCTGTATAACCCAACAAAAGTGGCTCAACAAATAAGCAAATTTGATATTTCCTAGCGAAAATACAAACAGCCAAAAATATGTCAAATTTAATGTTTCAAGAATATTTGGGACAGGTTTGAAAAATTGTTATATAGCCAAGTAGGTAGGTATGTAGAATATTTGACCTGTTTTTGTTCAGGCTCTTATATCAGGTATTTTTTAAATGTATATATTTCATTTATCAAAAATATACATTTCAAATTCGGTTTTGACTTGTCTCTTGGGTTAAAATTTTTATGGTTTCATTTTTTTTTATTGACAATCGTCGTTTCATGATAATATTAGCATATATTTATTATTGGCAATGCTTTTATTATCACACTTGTCATACGCACTTTACTTACCGACCCTAATCACTAATTAATTTGTAAATTAAACTTCTATTTTCAGAAGAACCAATTAAACACAGACATGTAGTAGCAAAGCTAAAATATTAAAACAAAAAAAAAAAAACAAAAAAATACTTGAAAACTAGAATTTAATCAAATACAAATAATGAACAGAATAAATGCATTCAATTATATTTAGAATAATAATAAAGGAAATACAGAGAACTAAGTATAAACCTGAGAAGCGTCCAGTAATTTAAAACACAAAAAACAATAATAGCAAAATTATAAACTGTAGCTGTTACCTACCAATAAACATGCTCTTGAAATAAGAAAAAAAATGTTTGTGCTTCACTTAAAATTGGCGAAACATTTAAAAAAATATAATATCTTTCAAGAACATATACCAGTCACACATTTTTTTATTTATATTGTATATATTGACTTCGAATTTGGCAAATGCTTGCTTGCGTGATATGTCCTTCGACAATAAAATTTTGATTATACAAAAAACAGGAGGAGAATTAATAGTGAAAGTTTTGCAGATTGAATACCAGTTCCGATAGAAGAAATAATTTACAAAATTAAACCTGAATATGAAAGATTTCAATTTTGTTATTTTGATATTTTTTTAAAATTAATTTTGTGGGATTGTGGAGTACGTGAAGGTTTTACTTCGGAATCCTTGAGAACTTACTTACTTACAGCACTTCGTATACGAATTCCACGGCAGTTTTTTCACATTTTCCAAAATATTTTTGCTATTGGAAAGCTTTAAAAAGTTGAAATGGACCGATGGTAGTAGTATGTCCAATTATCTACAGAAAAATTGTTATTTTTCAATCAAGGAAGGACACTACGTGTACAAACTTATGAAAATTTGGCAAAATTTGTCCACTTTAGAAAATCTGTTAATTTGGAAATTCTACATGCCATAGCTTTTTCGATGCAGAAATGATGGACCTTTAATTTCTCGTATTTAGAGCCGGGAAATCCCTAAAATTCCTAGTTGAAGTTGGACTGTTTCCCGCTAAAGGTTGCCTAGTTTAGTATCAAAAAATCGGCCTTAAAAAAAACTTCCTAGATTAAAAGCTTACCGATTTCTACAAAACCTCAGAATATTTATTTGGAAGCTTCCCATTTTCACAATTTTTTTTTAAAATCGGCCGTAAAAAGGCTGTCACGTTCGGCCTTGCCAAAAATCCAAAATACTCTGGAAAATAACACAATTTATAGGAAACAGTATACCACATGGTGCTCGCATACTTTGAAAATTGATTTTTTCGCGACCCGCGACAGTAAGGTACCTACCAACTGAATTAGGCCCAGGGCTCATTTTACAATATTTTCCGTCTCGAACAGTACAACAACATTAACCTTTAAAAAATTGAAAAGTTTAAATTAAAACAAATTCACTTACATTTCGCTGAAGCACCAAGTTCTTAATTTGATGACTAGTAAACCAAAAAATCCCCTCTATAAATATTTCTCGTTCAAAATCAGACTCGCTTTTCGTAATTGATTCTGTTTTTCAGGATTCCGAAGTTTGACGATTTTTAACCTCCATTGATTCCACACTATTTTTGACGTATTTTTTATAATATCAAATGCCATTCTATTCAAAAGGTTATCAATGATTGTTTGTTTTATTATATTCTGCCATAGTATATCATTTTAGAGTGTCAGTTCTCAGATTATTTCAAGTTGTTTTATTAAAAAAACATACATAATATCATTAAATCTGGATAAAAATTATGTTGGTCCTTTGGAAAAACCTGCTGCTGCCTCCAATTGTTTCTTTGTACAGACAAATTTAGTTCACGCTTTCATTTTTACAGTTTTAATTTACAAAATTATGAAATTTATGATTGTCAAAGTGAATAATATAGCGTAGATAATTATTATATTAATTATATAGAGAATTATTAAATTAGTTTAGTTTATAGTAGAGATTCAGGCAAGCATGTTTTAGACATAATTAGGGAGAAAAAAAGGAGAGAAAATATTTTTGATAATAGTATTGAGATTCATCTCTTTTTGTTTCTAAACACGATTGCCTGTATCGACAAAAAATATGAATTATCATCTCCGATTAAATGAGAAACCTAATTCATATCTCTAGGGTACGGCTACACCCTGTCATTTATCCTAAGCTAGGTTCAATAGCTAAAAACTACCAAATATATTATTATACTAAAAAAATTCCGCGATAAATAACAATAGTTCCAGCACATGTTGTACGTTGAAAAACCTTACGTTTTTATAGTCGGGACATCAGGTCTCTAGAACTCTAAAAAAATGCACATTGAGCAAAATTATTTCTAAATAAATCCTAATTTTTCTCTAACAAAACACAAATAATTCTATATCTTGAAGCAATACGCAAATTTTCACCAATAAGGTTGACCAGTATTTTCTGTCCACGAAAATATGACCTAATGACTCCGACTTCCGCATTACTTACTTTTTATTCAAAACCGAGTAACCTATCATAGTATCATATTGCACATGAAATAACTTATTCAGAATCTGACATCATGCCTTTTAGATAATTAACACGACTTAAACATCTCTGTAATATATAAAACTTACAAAAAATAACATATCGCGGCAATAATAATAATTTTTTCCAATCAATTAACGTTTTTCTAATTATAATTAATAGTAAATCTAAAATTCCATCCTGCCCGTGCCAACATAACACAACGGCTGATATGATTTTTTTTCAAAAACAAAATTAAAGCGGTTGTACTAATACTGGAGAAAGATATTCTTAAAAAGCGAACAATGTGTAGAAAAATTATAGAGATACTCTGCAAAATATGAATATATTGTAAAAAATTAACTTAAATATTTTATCCTTATTCAAATATTAAAAAAACAAATAATTACATCTAAAAATTGAACTTTCAATAAAAACACTTGTGCGCAAATGTTGCATATTTTCAAAATAATACTCATCAGTACTTAGTACTAATAAACAATTATGTAAAACTCGATTTTTATTAATAGTTCATAATACAATCATTATACTCATTTGTTTTATTGCAGATTTGAATCTAACAAAAAAAGCTTAATCTGCCAAAAACAGTCTCTTATTTATTAAAACAAAAAAAAATTATGATCTAAAAATAAATCCAAACTATAATAATAAATAAGCGCAGAATTGTAAAGAGTACTTATTAATTAGCTACCTTTCGAACTCCTTATTCTTCTTCTTCTTCTTGGCTAAATGGAATGAATACTGTCCTGGGACTCATTAGGTCATTATATACTCGATTTCGAGAATGAAACTCTCAAATGGTTCGATTCCGATAGTTGGTAGTTGTGCATTTTAATTAGAGCGACAACGGCATCTTCCATGCTAGGTAGTTGGATGAGCGCCATTTTCTTGTCTTTTCTGAAATGAAATGGATATTTTTTGTTCAGAAGCATTTTGACCAAAGAACAGAGGATCAATGTTTGCGAATGCTCAATAGAAGAGCTTTGCTTGTACCTAAATACAAACAAATATGTCTCCGTCCCCTATCTTTACAAGATTTTTGCTTGAGAAAATTGTCTTTTGGGTTAAACGCATGAAATTTGGCATTTTTTAAGAGATCTGACCCGATTAGCCAGGCCCTACGACTCTCAAGACTCCCAATTTCGCAATTTTTTTCAAAATGGCGGACGGGAATTTCCTAAAGTTCAACAGAGGTCAAAAAAATATCTTCAAAACGATATGACCTTCATTAACCATGAAAATTACAGTTTAATTCAATTTTAAAATAATTTTAATATAACATGTTTGAAACCGCCAATAGAGGGGGGTTAAAAATCAAAAATGATTGCTTAGCATTACATAAAAATTAAAATGTCTCATCAAAGATAAAAAGTTTCTTTTATAACAGATCAGCGGTGGCTGATGCGGTAGTACTAAGGTACATGAAGCCATGTCATTACCTTATTTCTCACAGAAATGTTTCAAAGTATCATATGAAGGTTACAAAACCTTTTTTTTCAGGAAAATAAAGTATTGTCATGGCTCCGTGGCACCGTGGCACTACCTCACCAGCCGCCGGTTTAACAGATACTGCTATAGGGATCGTTTGGTTTTGACATTCACCCTTGCAGTCAGTACATGCGGGTGAACAAGATAGACCTGCTTTCTGACACGAACATCTGTTGGTCTCACATTGACCTTCACATCCACTTTTCTCTAGTCCTCTTAGAGCTCACCAAATTTGTGGTAGCTGGCTCCCAGCTGTTTCCTTAATTCCAACCCCATCCTCCAGGTGATGGAACAGGTTCACCGGGTGACAGCGATCGACCCCATATTGAATCGGCTTGATACGCAGCTCTTCTGTAGTCTTCCATTAGACTGTCTTGTGAGGGTGGATACATTTCTATTGGTCGTTCTCCACTACAAAACTGCACCTCACGTGAAAGCGTAAAAGCCACGCAGTGCTAACGATTTTTCAGGTCCCAATAAATGATTTGCAATGTTATGAACTGGAATATATCTTTGTGTGCTAACCCCATATACAAGATACCATAATTCCCCAAGGGCTAAGGACTTAACATGTAGTTACATTATTCAATCTGCTCCCTCCATGTCGGCACAAAATAGTCTATCCAGAGTGGTTTTGACATTATGTTAAACATTTGGTTCAAAATGGAGCTAAATCCGTTTTAGTAGATACGATGCTCGGACACAGATGCAGACCCAAGCAGCTCAGCGGTTGTGTCTTCGCTTTGCATGCAGTGGGTCTCGGGTTCGAATCCCGGCTAGGTGCATGGATGTTTGTTTGTTTGATTTGGTTTGTGTGTGGTGTTCGAGGCTTTGTCGACAAACCACAGTGGTGGTTTCTGACAAGAAAGCAGAAAAAAAAAAAAAAAAAAAAAATAATAATAATAATGGGAACATAATTTTTTCATCTATTGAACTCCTTAGGTCTTGAGGAACTATGGTATCTATATGGGGTTAGCAAATAACAAAGATATATGGCAGCTCATAACGTTGCAAATCATTTGGGACCAGAAAAATCGTAAGCACTGCGTCGCTTTTACGCTTTTACGGGGTGCGACACTACTTCCTTTTTTGCATTGAATGGAAAAAACAGATCGATCATGGAAAGCATGGGAAGATTATCCGGAGGCAATCCTGGTCCTCCATTGTTTATCTTTAATAGATAGTACCACAGATATGCCACAAAATATATTCAAAATTTTAGAGAAATTTACTATTACACTATATGATGTAAGAAGAAAACTTGGAAGAGATAATGAATTGAGAAAGGTACAGTTTTGTAGTGGAGAAAGGTGCAGTTTTGTAGTGGAGAACGACCAATAACCTAGAGGATGGGGTTGGAATTTAACAAACAACCGCTGGGAGCCAGCTACCACAAATTTGGTAAGCTCCAAGACGACTAGAGAACTTGGAGAAGTCTGGATGTAAAGGTCAATGTGAAACCAACAGATGTTCGTGTCGGAAAGCTATAGTACAGCCGCATATACTAACTGCAAGGGCGAATGTCAAAACCGAAGATCCCTAGTTATTGATCTATAGGTTGCAGTATCTGTTAAAGCGGCGGCTAGTGAGGTAGTGCCACTGTGTCACGGAGGCATGGCAATCCCTAATTTTTCTAAAAAAAAGGTTTCATAACCTTATAACCTTCATATGATACTTTGGAACATTTCTGTGAAAAATAAGGTAATGACATGGCTTCATGTACCTTACCATTATCGCACCAGCCACCGCTGATCTGTTAGAAAAAAAAATTGTCTTTGACTATTTCGATAGAATGTATATGATAAGACATTTCAATGTTTATGTTATGCTAAGCTAAGCAATCATTTTTGATTTTCAAAAATTATTTTAAAATTACTTTCAACTCTCATTTTTAAGGTTACTGTCGGTCATATCGTTTTGAAAATATTTTTTTTTTGAATTCCTTGACCTTTAAATTATATAATAAAGAGTATAATCATGCTGAAGTAAATTAATTTTGAAATTGAGGAGATTCCCGCCCGCCATTTTGGCTAATCGGGTCAGATCTCTTGAAATGTGTTTCCTGACAATTATGCCAAATTTCATGCTTGTAACCCAATTCGGCGTTTTCCCTCAAAATTTCGTACGAGGGAACTCCACTATTTGTTGTGTTTTGTTCTTCCGATTTATTTTTCATTTGTCTTGCACTGATGGATGAGGCATCAGATATACCGTCCCTGCGTTTAGATCTGAAGCCACACTATTTGGCACTAGCTGAAGTCACACACTTAACCTAACAACAACAAGAAATGCGTTCATAAACTATTTACACACATCAGTTAGGCGCTAGCTATTACGTTATTTTATATAGGGGGAAAAAGGACAAGTATGTCATTGGGACAAACCATTGAAGGCGAAATCATGAGAAAAGGTATACTTATCCACTACCGCCATATTGTTTACTACACTTGTGTCTGAGAGTATGTCACTTTTGTCATATCATCACGTCAGTGTTGCATCAGGGCTGCATTTTCCATGCGAAGATGTTTTAAAAATGAGAAAATTTTTTGAAACGCAGAATTTCTATTTTGGGTCTTAAAAGAATTCCCTGCTTCAGTTTTTTTAGCAACTTTTTCTTTCTTAGTGAAATATCGATTTTTTACGTTTTTGAGATAAACAAACGATATTTACATTTAATTGTCCCCTTTTCGAAAGTGACGTTATGTGAATTGTGACGTAATAGCTAGCGCCTAACTGATGTGTGAATAGTCCTTGAACACTTTATTTGTCCCCCTATCGAAAGTGAGGTGATGTGTGTGACGTCGGCTAGTGCCTAATTGTAGCGACATAAAAAATTTGTTGAACTGGCTCAGAAGGATAGGATCACAAAATAGAGTACTTGGGAGTGATAGAAATCCTGAATTGAATCTTAAGTAAGTATTTTGAAATTTCTAAAAGGCTTATCAAAGTTCTAAAATGTTCTGCAGCATTCTAAATGGTTTCCAGTAACTTCTAAATTGAATGAGAAACGAATTCTGTGGGATGTTTTTGTAGGCATCTTAAAAACGGCCCTAAGATGTCCACAAACGACATTCAAGACGTTTTACAGTCTGCCTACGTGTTCAAGGCTTCCTAAAGACGCTCTTAAATTCTTGATTTCTTGTGAACGAAAACATACACAAAATTTACTTTGGAAGAAAAACATAAGAGGAGTAAAAATTAAAAAACAAATCAAGGGCCTGAAATTCTATAATACAAGAATAATGAGAATTCAAGAACACGGAGTGAAAAATTTCAAGAGCCAAGAGAAAGTTAAGAATTTAGAATAAAGAAATAAGGAAAAATCAAGAGCCTGGAATAGTTATTTAATGCTAATATTTCCTGATTATTACCTATTAATTTTATAACAGTAAATTTTTGTTTATTCCAGGCGCTAGGCTCTCTGGAATAATTATTCTGAAGTTTTTAAATTGTTCTGAAGCCTTTCAAAATGCTGCTGGATGTGTTTTGGAACGTTCTAAATGGCTTACTGAAGTTCTAAAGTGTTCTAACTTGGCTTGAAGCGTTCTGGAGCATTTTAAAAGTTTTTCAGTAATTTCTAAATTGTTTTGACATACCTATTTTTAAGTATTTTAGAGCCCCTATATTGAAGCTCCAAAGTGTCCCAAATTGGTCAAAAGAGTTCTAAAACGTTTCCAGTTCTAAATTGAATCCTAACTGTTCTGAAATAACTCTGAAGTTTCTAAATTGTTCCAAAATGCTCCTGCAAATTCTGATTTGGATTTGAACTGGATGCTTATTTAGGGTTTGAAGTTCTACAAGAATTTAAATTCGCTCTTGAACGCCTTATGAAAGCCGTTTCATGGCTTTTAACCTGAATCCTAAGATTATGGTGCTTTTCAAAATATTTCTGGAGGCTCTAGAGTGTTGGAGTGTTTTGGAGCGTCCTAAAATGGGTTTCAAACTCCTGAATTGTTCTAAAATGATTCTGGAACATTCTAAAATGATTCTGAAGTTTCCAAATTTTTCTGAAGTGCTACAGAATACTTCTGGAAATTCTGAATGGAATTTTAAGTGTTTTGAACTTCCCAAAAGGCTTATTAAAGTTTTAAAGTGTTCTGTAGCATTTTAAATGGTTTTCAGTGACTTCTTAATCTCAAAAACGTCCCTCAGATGTCCACAAACGGCAGTCAAGACGTTTTTTTAGACGTCTGCTTACGCCCGTGTTCAAGGTATCTCAAAGACGTCGTATGTTACAAAGCCCAACGTCTTTCGAACGTCTGCCTATAAATGTCTTTATGACTTTTTCATTCGCTTTTCAATACATAAACCATTATTCACTTTTAGGCCCGGTTGTAGGTACCAACTAGTGTAGCTCAGTTGTCTTTAGGATGTGAATTTTCGACATCTTATGGACGTCTTCTAGACGTCTTTTTTGGTCTTCAGACTTAATGCAGACATAAAAAAGACGTATTTGAGACTTTATGTGCTACCTGGGAAAATATTTTATCTCCAGTCCAAATTCTTGAATTTTCTCTATAAAGAAATTTACAAAAAAACGAAAACTCAAGAGATGGGAATAGACAAAAATTCAGATATAGAAAAACTGAGAAATAAAGGGAAGAAATATAAGAAAAATTAAGAAGAAATTGGTAGATAGATGAAAATAATGTTTTTTTTTTTCTATTCCAGACATTGAACTAGGAAAATTGAGAAAAAATTCGAGAGAAATTGAAAAAGTATTGTTTACAATATGTTGGATTTTCTTGGCATGCAGACGTTTCAATTAAAATTGATGAAACATTTTCTTGCATGGACTAGGATTTGAACCCAGGACCCTCGCATATCCAGTGCAACGCTCTACCAACTGAGCTACCAAGACTTGTTTCAATTCTACCTTTTCGGCCAAGTCTTTTATCGATTTTATGTTGTTAGTTGTGAAGACCAACGGTAACCTTTGGCGGTTATCGTGCCTTGATATTGATGGTTGGGCGTCCCATCCCGATACCTGCTGAAGTCGCTATATGTCGACGAAGCATCCGTGTGAAGGGGTAATGGATTCCAAAACAGCCATTAAACAGCCATTAATTGCGAATGTGTTCCCCTTATACCTTCTAACTCACTCCCATACCAACGATAACCGCCGAAGGTTGCCGTTGGTCTTCACAACTAACAACATAAAATTGATGAAAGACTTGACCGACAAGGTAGAAATGAAACCGTTCTTGGTAGCTTAGTTCGTAGAGCGTTGCACTGAATATGCGAGGGCCCTGAGCTCCAATCTTAGTCGAGGCAAGAAAATTTTTCATCAATTTTAATTGAAACGTCTGCATTCCAAGAAAATCCAACACATTGTAAATTATATAACAGACGATAAAAACCTCTGACAAAGTATTGTATTTTGGTTTCTATTCCAAGCTATTGAATTTTCTCTAGTTAGAAAAAGTTATAAGGAAACGAAAACTCAAGAGCCAGTAATAGAAAAAAAAATGAATCAGATAAATGACGTCATAACGGTATATTCGTTTTCGCGCGCGTTTGAATTTTTCAGATATGTATATCAAAAACTAAATCGTTTTGGGATAAATTAAAAAATTGCTATGTTTTGTTTTACCCACATGTTCGAAAAAAAATATAATCCAAAAATGTGCAAGTAATACGTAGGTACCCTATTTCAATACATGGAGTTACAAATATTTAAAAAATAATAATACTTACGGGAAGAACTTGAATGCCTTGACGACAAATCCATTGTCAGTGAAGGCCTTTTTAATATCGTCTTCATTGATAGACCCAGGAATGTTACTTAAATGTAATGTCGAGGATGGTGGGTAGATGTTTTGGTAGTTTTTGGAGCCTGGCTTTTTGAATCTATAAAAAATAAAACGTCATTAGTTTTCATTCAAAAATCAGTTAATTTCCACTAAGAAGTAGGTACCTATGCAATGGACTCTGACTGTAATCTTTCGTTAGGCCGGCATCTGGTTGTCCTTCTCTTGGCATTTGTACGGACTGATGTTTACTTAGCATTACACGGATGTGCTTGCCAAATACTTTCAGTTTGTCCATGTGGGTAATAGCTGGAAAAAGTATAAGTTCAAAACAAAATAATCAATAAATTTCTAGACTTTTTATTTCGAATAATCAAATCAATCAAATTTAATAGATATTCCGATCTGGCTTGTTTTGTGGTAAAGTAAAAATCAAGCGCTGCAGATAGCAATCGATAATTTTGCAAGCAAAACGAGGACCTTCTCAAAACTCTCGCTCATGTCCTGAGCTGAAAAGAGATTATTAATATTTTATGCCGCTAATGCGTACCTCTATAGCAGTCATTAACCTAGTTAGAGTAAACCTAATGATTGGTTAATTAGCGATACCGCTTTTGCTTTTGAGCTATTGCCGCCATCATCGAAGGAAATTATGGGCAAAAGGAAAAAAAAAAAAAAAAAAAAAATCTAGCATTTATATTTAGAAAACTAGGATATTTTAGAAGTACACCTACGAAATAGGGTTTTTTTTTTTTTAAAAAATTTCTGGAATTCGATTTGCAGCGGAAATTACTGGAAAAGCCCATGCACAAAAACGGAAAGTTATTGCTTAAATGGACCTTCTCCACAAGTGTGTATCAATCGTAAAAATGGGTAAAATTATTGTTGTCAACTTTTAACAATGCAGCAATATGTTCTTGACATCGAAATTCTGATGTAACTTACCAAGATGTGCTTGATGTGGTTCCGCCAATTGTACAAGAGCCGAATCCTTTTTGTTATAGAGGATCTTCACCCTTTGCACGTCACCATATACCCCTACAAAAAATCGAAAATAAATAATACATCGAAAATTATTATTATTATAAACTAATAGGTGCTCTTCAAAAAAAAGTACAACAAATGTAGGTATGGTTGTAATGATGAATATTACTGTTCGAAAAACTAAAAAAAAACATAGAAATTTTCAAAATAAAAAAAAAGATGTATAGTAACAAGTTTTGGTTTGTTCAGAAAAAGAATATAAAAAAGAAAAAGGTAAACACAACATAAACATTTTTTTTTTATGAAAAGACATGCAATAAATATTGAAAAAATAATGAAAAAACAAAAAGTCTACTAATTATTAAATTAAAATCAAGGAGATAATATAGAAACAGATACAATAAAATTATTTAGAAAAATTGAAACGAACGATAATGAATCTAGGCAGTAAGCTTAATAAAATAAGAGCAAACAGAAAAGTAATTCAAACGACACAAATTAAACATAATACAAACAAAAATGAAAATAAAGTAAAATAAAATGATGATGGAATCTAATTTACCAAAGATAGCAAACAAATACCTATGTGCATAATCCTTAGTATTGAAAACCAAAAACAAATTTTATTTAGTATAATACATCAACTAATGTACGAGAAGTCAAGTTTGTTGATGAATACCTACTTAGGTAGACATCAGGATTACTGAAACATCACGGTAAATGGTCAGTTGGTATTTAACAGGTTTAAACAAATAATTTATAGTATTCTCAGTGTCTCAATTAATAAATAATTTTCTTTGGTAAATTAGACTTTATCAAACGATTTTATTCGAACCAATCATATTCGTTATTTAAACAGAATAATAGCAATACAAAATTGTCAACAATATATATTTTAACTGATTGGTTGAAACATAATCGTTTGATATACGAATTACAAAATGAATACGATATAATTAAGTATGAAAACATACCAAATAGTGTAAAGAGAGCGTCAGGCGTGACCATCTACGATAGAAAAAGATGACAGGAGGATGTGACGTGGCACAGAGAGGTAGGGCGGTATTTTTTTATTACCGCCGGAAGGGGCAGCAAATGTAAAAAAAGAAAAAACAGCATATTAGATAAATTTTTCTGTAAAACATTCTCTATATAATAGTCTAAGGTTAATGTTTAATAAATAGCGAGACTTCAAGACCCTTAGATTGTCACTTCTTTATAGCTAACTTTTATTGTAAGCATGCGCACTAATGAAATGACAGTCCTGAAATAAATCCCTTATTAGCATATAGGTATATTTGCGTTTGTATAACCTGAGTATCAAAAAAAAAATGTTAAAAACCCAAAAAAAAAAGTATTTCATTAGTTTAACTAGAAATAATTATAATCTTCTGTATTCCTTTATGTGTATGTAGATACTTAAATAAAGTTCTAACGCAAACAGTCAAAATACATTGCCAGTAAGAATGATTAACAATCATTAACGAAATGAATATATTTAAAAGGGTAGCAAGGAAATTCGAAAATAATTAAATACTATTTACACCGTTCACTAATTAACTTAACGAGGTTTCGAGCACTTTGAATAATGTTTTAGTAAACTCGCGTTGGTTGAAAAAATGAATGTTTCAGTAAGAGTGTACCTACTACTTTATTGGAATGAACAATGGTGACATTAGAAAGTTTTGCCAGATTAAATTTTGTAGTTACTTGAACAACGTATGGTCTTACATGGACACCACAAATATTTTTGGTTGGAAAAAATCCTATAAGAATGGGTAGGAAATAAAAAAATGTTGAAACATAAATCCTATTAGAGAAGATATAAAATTGTGAAAAAAAATAAATTAACCCGTTGCTAATGTTAATGTTAATTGATTTTTATTGCTGCTCCGTGATAGTTTGCCCTGCACCAACAAAATTGTACAATGGACACGTTTTCAAAATTTCTTCTAGAAGCTGTACAGCTCAGAAAAGAAAGCTAGAGTAAAAAAATATTTAAAAATAATTCCTATAACTCAAAACACATATCAGACAGTTTTTTTTTAAAGAATAAGTTGAGATTGGGCGGTGTGTTATATATGAAAAAGCTTCAGTGAAACCAATAATGGTGTAGGTATCGGCAAGACAATATCGTTTTATAGACTTTTTAGAAGAATTTATCGAATTGAAATTGAAGCTAAATCGAAAATCAGATCGTCCGTTATGAAATGCGATCGATGCGACGTTGCGGAACATGATTTGCCGTGATACATTTTTCACGAAATGCCGACCCGTAATGTAAGACCGATGGTCTAGAGTCTAGAGATATTTGTTACCTATGTATGTTCGCAGATGAGTGAAACTGATCAACATGGTGTCAGATTTATAACTGACTTGCCCTGAAGTGGCCATGTCCTTTTATAGCACTTCGATGTTTCGGTAATTTTCTGGATATTTCGCTTCCGATGAACGTCAATTTTTCATTATTCCATCAACGTTGATTACAATTCTCGAAAATTCTAACGGACATTTGGGGTTCGATCAGTGAGTAGGATGACGGGTTTAGAGGCTCTAATCTCTATTTTCTTAAACCTCAAGGGATTGAGTCTTTGTTTGTGGGTTGAGATTATGCTAAATTTTCCCAACTTCAGGAAAACCTAAGTTTAACAACTTCATACTGAACGGTTCTAACACTGTCGTTTTTTCAGACTCGAATAAAGCTAACATGATTTATAGCACTGCTTTCTTCCTTAGAACTGTTCAACTTGAAGAGCTTGTATGGCGTCAGCTTTTCTACGTGAACAACTTCCAAGCTGTCTTTCAGCGAAAGTTGAATTCTGTACTGCTTTATTATCAACTGGAGGTCTGTCAAAAATAAGACCCACGACGGGAAGTTTCATTTCTCTTCCAGTCAACAGCATTGATGGTGTACAGCCGGCGGATTCACCATCGAGCTGGATTTTATCTCCAAACATCGAGATTTCATTGATAATCCGACTGTGAACAATGTGGAGTCATTCTCGTTTTCCCCATTTCCTGTAAGCCATCAGTTGTTTTTATACTTATGCTTCTGCAACTGTAATAGCTTCTTTATTGAAGGCAGTCCATAGCAACCATGGTCCATGAGATATTTATTTTCCGACTTTCTTGTAGGAAAAGGACTGGCGATACTGCAATTCTCTCACATGTTTCATTTATTTTAGATATAATGTCTTTAAAATGAAGAGGTCTTCAACATCCCTATGCCAATTGATTCAGTGATACCTATCTGCTCTCTGTCCACCATGGGCTTATTAACTGGATTTTCCCATCTGAACTCTCAACAAAACTGGAAATTTCCCAGTTTACCAGTCATTGTCAATTTCCATTCCTAGTACAGCATTTTATTCTTTCTCGAAGTCTTCCTTGGTCATGTCGTCGTAAGTATCAGTATCAGTTTTGGAACTCTTGGCCCAGATCAGTTTGGATGTTGAAGAAGACCAGAATTTTGTGGAGATTTATTTCTCAATAACATTGCAGAGTCTGTAAAAACTTTGACGATGGGATAAGTGAAACTACTCTTACGAACTCAAATAAATTTTGTATAAAACAATAAGGCAAAAACTTCGTATCACTCAAATTTAAGTGAGAAAAAATGGGTCGAAGGGCTATTTCTGTTATTTTAAGCCCTAGGGGACGAATTCTTATTTGGAGAAACATCCCTGGGGACCTTCCATGCGGTGTTGCCAGACTGTGCACGGTTTCTCCAATAGTATGAATAATAACGTTATTTTTTATTTATGTGAGGGCAAAATGTCCCTCTTTTTACAAAAAGCCGCGGCAGATAATAAAATAGTATTTCTATACATTATATGTATGCAGGCGTTTCAGGAAGCTCCTAGCCTTTTCATTCCCTACAGGACTACGACAGATATACAATGATATCAAATCGATTAGTGGGTGAAGTTGAATAATCTCGCTAATCTATACCTATATTGGGTTGTTACGTTTCCAAATCGTTAACTCTTTTAAAAATGACATGAAAAAATCCGAATTTATCAACCCTAAATACCCATTTAAATATTTATAATAAATCTTATACTGACCTCTTCGTTCAAGTTACTGACAAGCAACACCGTTGCCAAAGCTAAACCTGGATTTGTTAGGCCGCGTAGACCGGGCGCAGCTTGGCCGAGCGTCGGGAATCCGCCTAATCCTGGAATGGTACCCGCCACGCCTGCTCCGTAAGGTCCACCTAGGGGAGAACCGACGCCATGCACGAACGGACCATTCAGCACACCTGGAGTACCAGCCAGAATAGAATCTGAAGACATTTCTTATTATTCATTTCAAGTTATTTTATTTGAGTTTATTCGATGGCAAATGACGAAAACAAACCCAAAAGTAAATGTTTTTTTGAAAATGCATGAACAATTACTTCACAAGGGCTTTGCTTCACACGTTATGAATTTATAGCATAAGTAAGTGGATCCATTCCTGCAGCATCCAGTAATCATTTAGTCCTTAAAACTGATAAAAAAGCTACGTTATAGCTACTCAGATGGAGGGCTGCTGCAAACTCAGCAATGCAGATGTATGCATAATAGATAAAACAAGTTAGAATATTCGAGCTCACCAACAAACACAAGAATGATGCGCCCATGTCTGTGTTCCTCATCAAAACGAAACTCATACAGATCTGGAAGAAGAAAATCGGAAACGGTCAACCCAAATAGTACTAGTCTCTGACACGTATGTACGTTAAGTGCGTAGAAAAACACAAGTCGAGTGCCTGTAGCCCCGCAACCGCAATGCAACTTGCGCCAACTGTTCGAGGTTTGGACACCGTGCTAGCTACCGATGATACCTTTGATACTCGAAGCCTGCCCCAGAGCGGCAAGATAATTCGAAGTTCCCGCTGATCAACCACAGAAGGCCCATTGTCCATAAAGTGATTCCAGTACAAGAAGATTTGATCAAATCGATCATGGCATCATGCAGACACGTCAGGGGATTACAACTTAGAAGATTAGACGTTGAGTAATTTCCAGCTCTCCTACAACAAGGCCTAAAAGAACTTATAACTCCACTAGCAATAATATTCAAAGCTAGCTACCTACTAGGTTACATTCCCACTAGCTGGCGGGAAGTAAGTGTGGTCTTTATTCCAAAGGCTGGGAAACGTCCCACAGCACAGCCTAAATCGTTCAGACCCATCAGCCTAACCTCGTTTCTCCTCAAAACCATGGAGAAAATCATTGATTTACACATAAGAAGCGAATTCGTAACCGATAAATCGCTCCACAAAAACCAATATGCCTATCAAGCAGGCAAATCAACGGAGACAGCCCTACACAGCTTTGTCAATAGGATTGAAAAGGCACACTCCAACCAAGAAACCGCTCTCTATGCATTCACTGATATAGAGGGTGCATTTGATAACACCTCTTATGAGTCCATAAGAAAGGCGGCAAAAAACAAAGGCTTTGAGGACACTACAATCACATGGATTAAAACCATACTACAGGATAGGAAAATCAAAGCAACTCTTGGAAGCGACTCAGCGACGGTCCTAGCAGTCAAGGGGTACCCCCAAGGGGGTGTATTATCCCCACCGCTATGGTCCATAGTAATAGATGAACTTCTAAACATACTAAGTGGCCATGGATTTTTGGTCTTAGGATATGATGATGATCTTGCAGTCATCATTAGAGGCAAGCATGATGGGATCATTAGTGAACTCATGCAGAATGCCCTCAACATCATCAAAAGCTGGTGCTTGCAACAGGGTCTAAAGGGTGAATCCTAGCAATTCACAAGGAAAAGGAAGCTCAACTTAATAGCTCCAAGACTGGAAGGAATACAAATAGGCCAAGTGGAGTCAAATATCTGGGCGTTGTCCTGGATTAAAAGCTCACCTGGAACTCACATTTAAAAAGAATAATCGATCGAGCAACAGTAGCGTACTGGACATGCGGAAGACTATTCAGTAAAACATGACGCCTAAAGCCAAAAATGATCTATTGGTTATATACGATGATTATAATACCCCTGGCCACATATGCTGCATTGGTGTGGTGGCCAAAAGTGCAGACAGGGCAAAACTCATTGGCAGTTGTAGAAAGGTATGCATGTCTTGGAATAACAGGTGCCATGAACACCTGTCCAACTGCTATAGAGGTCACGTTAGATATCATCCCTCTGCACATTGCAGTGAGGAGAGAGGCCTACATGGGGGCCTCAAGGGTTATACGGTCTCTAAACCTAAAGGAAGGGGACCTTGTTGGACATATGAGCATCATTAAAGAATGCCATGGTACACCAAAAAAACCGGTGGACATCATGCCACCCAGATACGAATTTGATCACCTTTTTAGTGTGACCGCAGAAGGCCGCAAAAGTGACAAGATCGTACATAAATTCCCAAACGGTTCATCCATCTGGTACACAGATGGATCGAAAACAGAATAAGGGGACGGAGTGGGCCTATATGGCCGAAAATGCAGGCTATCGGTAGCCTTAGGAAAAAACCCCACCATATTCCAAGCGGAAACGTAAGCAATAGAACTCTGCGCCAGAAAGTGTCTTGAAATAGACCTACGAGGTGCAAGCAGCACTTAAGGCTCTTAACAGCTTTGTCACTAAATCCAGACTAGTCTGGGACTGTCAGCAACTTTTAAAGCCTGGCGAACTGCAATAGAGTCACTCTAGCATGGGTACCAGGGCACCAAAACATAGAAGGAAATTAAATAGCGGCCCGGCTTGCAAGAGATGGCGCCGCGTCACTATTCCTCGGTCTAGAACCCTTCTTTGGCCTGACAAAAAGCCATGTAAGGACCGAACTCAAAAAATGGGTAGAGGCACAACAGGCCTCCCATTGGAACAATACTCCAGGACTTAGACAGGCGAAGCAATTCATCTCGCCAAAGTCAACAAAGGCAGAGGAACTACTCGAACTCAGCAAACCAGACTTGAGGCTCATAATGGGTTTCCTCACCGGCCACTGCCCTTTTGGCTACCACCTGAAAAAGATGGGTAAAGCTGAATCAGCCGCTTCTGCAAAAAAGCATCCGAATCTGCCGAACATATACTCATCTGCAAATGCGAAGTATTATGTCACAGAAGACTCATTCATCTGGAGCAGACACATTTGACTGCTGCGGATGTTAAGCGAACCAATCCCGGAAAAATCGTGAGATTCGCGAAAAGTCTCAACCTGGGAGCCTACTAGAAAAAGGGGAAGCACAATAGATTTATTCAGGTGGCAGTGCAGAGAGGTCCATCACCTAAACGCCCCTAACACAATCTAATCTAATCTAATCTAATCTGATCTAATTACTGGAGGACTATCAACCCTAAATCTAACAAAATTTCCTTTAGAGTAATAGTGGAGTTAAGAAGCAGACCTAGAACACTCAGAAGTAAATAACGATGTCGAGGCATAAACAGTCACTAGAGAGATTGAAAATATCAGAGGCTAACTAAACCTAATAGTTCAGCATACTTACAACCACCGGATATTTAACTGAGGAAAGATATACCGAATTTATTAGTCACAAGAGAGGATTCCTATCATCATAACTAAACGTCGGCAGTTAATCCTGAGCCTGGAACTCCAATGTTTGCAACCGGATTGTAGTCAGGCCACAGGAATACGCCGGCACCCAAAGGGCCATCGTCCTCAGTCTCGAATGACCTCCGTTCTCACCAGCAGGACGGAAGTTCTAATAAGCAGGACATAGCAATTTTGAAAAATGTCGCAGATTACTTTCAAATAGATATTATAGAGAAATGTACCTCAGATTCCAGAACAAGATCCAGTGATGCATACTTCTACGCAGTTGGAACTAGCTGTTGAAACCTTGCAAAAATATCTGAGCTGAAAAATAACCATCATTCCACCTTTGCATGGAGTCGCTGTGAAGGGATACACTGATAAAGTATATATTTTTAGGCGGGAATGCCGACAAAATGAATTCCCATTTTCAGACAAGAATCACGGAGATACGCTTGATCATTCCTCCGACAGACTCCGTGAATTGGTAACGGCACCAAGTCGCGTAGCAATTTTGAACAAGATGATATAGGAGATGCCTAGAGGAGCTGTTATGAGACTGGATCACTTAACAATCATGCTTACGAAAGCAGAGAGTAAAACCAGAATTACGCTTTACTGAGTTATATGCACCTAGATAAGTAGATCCCATCACCAACGAATTCAACTGCAGGAAAGTTACAGACCTACGTCCATAGGGCGCCATCAAATGCATATGTTTCCGAAGCGTACAAAAAAGGAATAATTGAGAAAAATATGTACTAGAAGAAGTCTTACCTGCTAATCGTTCTCTTGCTAATCTAGGCTGATGGTTGGCTAGCAACAAAAGATCCGGCCCAAGACCGCCAGCCAAACCGCCAGCCAAACCTCCCGCCAGACCGCCCGCCAAGCCGCCCAAAGCCAATTGATCACCTTCTCCGGAGGGAAGGCTGGGGTTCGTGTAGTCCCTGGACTTGTCGTTGTTATATTTGACGTTTAATGAGGCCATTTTGGAATAGTCGATACGCAAGGTGCAGCAGCTACTGTAAATGCTCTGCCCATCTAAGTGATGTTTTGCGTTCTGTGCAGATTCCTTGTCCGGGAATTGAATTAATGCTTGGAAGGAATCTGTGGAAATATCACAAGAGATTTTTGTTAATTTAGACATGCAAAGCAATGAAATTAATGTGTTGAATTAGAAACCGTTTGTACAATGAATAAGTAAGTATATGTTTTGCATAATATTTTTACATAGAAATCAACTGCAATTTGGATCTATGATTACTAAAATAACACAAAAAGATTGGTACTTACTGTTCTTAGTAAAGGTGACAATTTTGAGAACTCTTGCGCAACGCTGGAATATCTGGAAACAAAACAAACAACAATTACAAACCAATAAATAGTTAATTATATGTATACAGAAAAATGCAAATAATTAACCCCAATAATTATTATATATTGGTCAATTGATTGAATTTATACAATAATTTAAATACCACACCAAAACCAAATTATTAATTAAATCATTCCGTGCGCATATTATAATATTATTTCAAAATCTATTTCAGCTGATGCACTTTCCAAATTGAATGAGAATTTGTAGTTGGTTTTAAATTATATTAATTAAAGGATAGATAATTTTGTCAGTCTATTATAACGTACAGCATGTTGGGAATTTCCTATTGATGCTATAATAAATTCATTTTGGTTGCCAATACATCTGTTGCTAAAAATTATTATATCTCTTGCTGAACAAACCACATAGTGGAAAGTTTAAAAAATAATTTAAAATAATATGTAATTTTTTTGGAAATGTTTGTAAACAGTTCGTAAAAACCACACATTGTTACTGATTTGCCGATTTTGTAGAACTCGAGATTTATTATTTTTGTAAAAACCTATACGGCCGTTCGAACATCCCAAAAAGTAACTTTTATGTTTCGTAAATAATCACTTTTTTCTTTGGGAATAAAGAAATTGGGGATTACAAAATGTATCCCATGGGCAAAGTTAAAAAAATTAGCATGTCAATATTTGTGCCTCTTGTGGTGGTTAAGCTCATCAACAGCATCCATCGATTTGTCCCAGACTGGTGATGAAAAATGGTACCAATTTCCCAAGCAAAAGTCGGTACCCATCCGGGAAAGTTGGTAGTCCAATGAATTGTTACCGAAAAATATGACAATTCGTACTGAGCATTTTCGAAATCATCACATCTTGAGGCCGCAACTATAGAAAAATACCCGAAAAACTTTATCGAGTGACTTTTCAGCCTGATACCAATCACAGGCTTGCTTGTTAAAGACACAAAGGCGTCTTTTTAGGAGCAGAGCCATTAAATCTATAGTCCACCGATCTAACTCCATCAGACTTTCAGCTATTCCCTTCTCTATCGAACAACCTTTGAAAATCCTAATTTCATAATCAAGTTGCGCATAAACATGAAGTCACTAAGGTTCTTCACACATTATCAAGTGATTTTTTTTTTTTTTAAACTTTATTTTTTGAAATTTCAAGTTAATGTTTCCATAATATGTAAACTAACTACCTGACTTTCGCAAAGCTATTCAGTTCTTATGAGCATAAACTTACCAAATACAAGGTATCCAAAGTAATATGATAGATCATATGCTCAATTATAACCCTGAGCACCGTGTTTGGTCCACCCTGTATGTCCTGACCATTTGTTACTGGGGTTGTAGGAGCTGTGACCGTCGGGGTCACCGAGTTGTTCGTCAAAGCATGAACTTGCGCCGCTTGTAGTGCCGCCTGTGCCGAAGCATTCTGGAAAGGAAGAAAAAAAATATTCAATTTAGGTAAAGCTTATAAATGAATTATGTTTTGCAATAAAGCCCATTTTTTTGTGACATAGTCCGGAAGTTGAAAGAATGAGGAGGGTGCCAGCTATTCTCAGAATATTTTAGTAGAAAAATATGCAGAATCTTAAATCTCGTGTCTTGCATGAATGTAGGGTCACATTTTTTAAAATTTATAACTATGAAGTATTTCGTTTAAAAAAAAAAAAATTAGGGCCCCTCAGGGAGGTCGACATTGAATTGTATTCTCAAAACACGACAATTTTAAAATTATTAACAACAACAACAGAGGGATTGTACGAAAGTTTTTGTTTTCTCTTGCCATATTTTCGTTTCCTGTGGCCTTTCATTTAGATGTTGCCTTCCTCCAGTGCGCGCAACTCGTAAAAATCTCTTTCCGTTTTTTTCATTCAGTTATTAAATGGACGGAATGAAACAAGTTCGCTAATTGGATTCGCAGGCCATCAAAGTTTAACGTTTAAAAGTCGGGGCGAAGTCGTTTTGCATTTTGCGATATTATGTTCGGTGAAAAAATAACACGAAACCTCATCAGCGGAAAGCTAATTGTGCGGGATTTTTATAAACGAGCAAATTTCCCGTCCCCTATCTGCATTTTGTTTGCGTACCCCTGCTTTTTTTTTTTTGGCTACGTAGTCTGTTTTTATTGGAATTTTTGGTAATCTTGTTAAGACGAAGAGTTTCGAAATGGGTTTAAATTTAGTATCAGTGAATATTCTTCAATTCTTAAAATTATCAACAAACACTATCTAATATTTAATCAAAATGTTTCTTGATAAAATAAGCTCGTTGCTAGCTCTCTATCCATTAAACAAGAATTCAATTCACGATTAAAATTTAAACCCATCTTATAGATCCCGATTCGCACAAGCAAACTAACGTTTCCGTTGACATTATTAAATCAATTAGTCTCACTTGTGCCAGCAATATATCATGAATCGGCTACCTTAAAAGCTCCAACTTTGACAGAGAATTTCACTGGCAATTAGCAAATTTGAGGCCGGTCGGTATCCACGAAACTTGTAACCAACACCCTCAATTCCGAATCGATTATCAGAAAGTAAACTTTGGCCTGAGGAAGAGCAGGAGATGTCTTAGGTTTGGTCCCTTCAATGCACCTCAATTTTCGGTCTTGATGTTGACATTGGTTTTACCTTTGAGGGGATTATACACGTTGGATGATTTATTGATTAGTTGACATTTTCAAATTAAAAATATATTCATTCGATGTTAAGTGTTTTGAACAGCCTAAATCGCAATAAAGTGATCATCATAACCTGCAAAATTACGTATTAATAACTGCATTTTATTGGGTCTACTACGAAAGTAAGTTTACAGGGTGTATTAAGTTTGACTACAAAAATTTTAACACGTGAAAATATGGCCTATCTTTAACAAAAACAGTTGATACTACATGGGGTCCAAACTCAACCATTTTTAAGAAAAAGGCCTTTGAAGTTTTGACATTTTTTGACGAATATTTGAAATATTAAGAAAATTTTAATCATTACGAGATGTGAAAAACTTTAGTTCATTCAATTATTAAGTAATTATGCATTTTTAGTCAACAACACTAATAAAAAATTTGAAAAACAACATGAAAATTTCACTCGTAAATCGGTATCCAAACATCTAGCAACATAGCACAACATACACTTGATTTGCCTTACATCATTTAGTTGAAGCATTGGAAATGCGCGTAATTCATTCTTTTTTGAAAATAAAATTTTCACAAACGTCGAATATATTTCCAGCATTTTCTCTTGGCCACATTTATGGAATAATTTTTTTCCGACAAGACTACGATAAATAGTTCTTGAGATATGGCCGAGTGCCATTCTTAATGAATCAAGATACTACTTGTTCAGGCAGAATGGTTGCAAAATGCCCATTTAGCAGCCAGAATTTGCAGGGAGATATTTCCCAAGAGCACCCACCTGATGAAAGAACATTGTGCTCGTTCTACAAAGATTGCGTGATTAGCGTGATACGGGAAGTGTGGGAAATTATTATAAAAAATGAAGGCGTTCACGGCCGGACAAATCTAGTAAAAAAGTTTTTTCCGGGCTATAAAGCCGTGGTCCATTAGTATTTCTACTTAACGTTTCGTCTACTGCTGCGGTAGACATCTTCAGAGGCGGTGTGGTAGAGGACGAAGTGTTCTCTTCTGTGTTTCTCCGATGACTGTCAAAGATATTTTTCGTGAAATGGGTGGACTATGCAAGGATTTTAATGGGGTCAACTAAATCGGAGTATCACACATTCCAAGGCACCAGACAATGGGAAGTGTAAAGATACAATCCCTTCCATAAAAAAAAAGGATCCATGACGGTCCCATGGTTGACAGTGCACAATCCTCCTTCACGGAATCAAAAAACAACACAAAGTGTTCCAATCATCCAAGCAGTCATATATTTTGGCGTCTAATTGTTAACCCCTACCAAAAATGTGTATTACCCATATGTTCTACTAATTTTCCAGTAATATCCAACATTCGTACAGCTATTAGGTTTTTTTTTTTTAAATCATATTGTTACTTTTGGGCTGATGATAATAAATTGATGAATGCATTTTGGAACTATGATATAAAATCACCAAATAGCTAAAGAGACAGCATTAAATGGCGTATGCACTTAGCTGACGGTCCATAATCTATAAAGGACGAAACTCGGGTGTAATAAAGTTATTTAAAATGTGCCGCCCCTCGAAATACGTTCCGTTTTTGGCAACCTCATTTATATTCTTTAATGGTGTCAGGTGTAGGGTCGCGAGTAAGTACGCCTAATGACGTAAGAGCTTTCAGACACTTGCTGTTTAATTGAATATTATACGACGATCTAACTAAGTAATTTATTGCTTACTTAGCTTTTTTACCGCAACATAAACTTCCTGCTCAAAAATGCAATTTTAAAAGTTACAAGTTTGACCACCCTAACAATAAACCTGTGCCCCTATTTTTTTTCTATTCCCTTTGGCCGACTTCGTTCGTGTTCGTACCCTTTTACCCCAATAAGTATCCATAATTTTTGAAAACGATAGCGCTGTCGTCCTCGCTTGAGAACAACGATTAATTTCGCCCCGTTTTCGAAAGAGGAAAGGTTCCCTACTTTTTCCCAGTTATTGCGCCCCGAATCACGTGCAATCAAAACGGGAAGAAGCGATGTCCCCGTGGGACAGTTACGAGGACGCCAGACCACTCGACGTAAACAAAACGATCTTTTATCGGGCCTCTTTTTCTCCTATTCTCTTTGCCCGTTATGAACAACTGTTGTTGGCCACACTATATTCAGTGTATTTTTTTAATAAGCGCTTGACTTTGAAACGGCCATACAAAATGGATTTTCTTTAAATCAAAAATCACAACAGCCATTCTTTAAAGTCAATTAGGCTCTGAAGCCATTTAATCTTGCAAGAAGGCTTGCTCCTGGAGTGTGCAAGGATTTGCAACAGTAAACCGGGATTACGTTAGACGACAGTGACAAATTACCTTTAGCTTACATATGCACAGGTAATACCAAAGCTTTCCCGTAAATTGGTAGGTAGTATTTTAATCTTGACGCAAACGGAATATTTAAGGTGAAACCTTAAATGCTTATACCAACTCGTCCAATATTATTTTTTCTTTAAAAAAATCAAAAAAAGCATTTTGCTTTATAATTAAAATCGCTATTGTGCTTCACAATATGTTGGAATATGATATTCGCGCGATATTTTGGGAAAATGTTATTTCAGTTTTTGTTTTTGTTATATTATAATTTTCGACCGTGAAAATGTGTATAATTTGGAATGTTTATTTTGTGGGTACGTATTTCGATACTCTTCGCCATTGGCTGTGTAGTAAAAAACTAACATATAATGTAGTAGACGTAAAACAAATTGCTGTTTGTGAAAACTAGTTTACTTAGGACGAATATAGTGTTGTGCTAGGAAGCCATTTGCTGCGTCCATCTATTATTTCAACTATCCTAAAACCAAGTTCCCAACTAACAGTTAAAACTCATCATCGTAAACTCATACATCTCAATAATAAAATCAAAATTTATGCGACGCTATGATTCCACGTGAACAAGTTGGCTCTAATACCATCCACCAATCTCTTGCAGGAATACATTTGCGGTAAACTTTGGCAGTATATCTTGAACGTAGTTAGCAAACTCGCAAATCTAGTCGTAAACAAGCTGATAGATAAAGATAAACGTATGTGAGATGTGTGCTAGTATATGTTGAAGATTAGATCATTTTCTTAGTAAAGTTATAGCCAAAATCATTATTATTTCTTATAAGCATATATTTGATAAATATATATATAGGGTGGTCCAAAAAAAACCGGAATTTTGTTTTTGGGCTGTAACTTTTTTATTTGTTGACCAATTTTCTTTTGTTTTGGCTTGCTTGAAAGAGAAATGAACAGGCTAACGAATCAGAGTGAAACTTTTGACATTTGAAAAAAATCCAAAATGGCGGACTCCTCCAAAAATTGCCTAGTTTTGGATAGCGCTGGAACTTTTTTGAGACACCCTGTAGAAGTTTTTGCAATAAATTCTTAAAGTTCATCATTTTGCGAACATTTTAAGACCTCGACAGAAAAAATCGGTTGAAAACTAAGTGAAATATTGAATTTTTTGTAATATCGAATTTCAATTTTTTATATTGACAGCAAAATCTAGGATATGCTATTTCAGCTAGAATTTTTTTTTCTACTCGACATATTTTTTCTATTTCGGGCTTGTTGGAAAGATAAATAGATAGGATAAGGATTCGAAATGAAGATTTTGACTGTTGAGAAAAAGTTAAAGATTTCCCAGTTCCTTTAACATAGCCAATTTCGAAAAAGTTAACGATAAGTTTTCTAACAATACGCCTAATATTTTTGTTTATAAATTTTAAAAAATAAAGTAAACACGTTTAAGGGGCAAGAGGCGATATGCCCTCTGTGGGCCTCAACAACCC